GATCTCCATGGCCGCTGACGGTGTGGTACTGTGGCACCGCTGATGGCGAGAGAAGCCTGTCTCTGTAAGCCAGAGAGCTTCACCTAGGCCGTTTTCTGTAAAGCGTTCGGCCACCAGGCAATTACATCATGAGTGATCATTGGTTTGACAATCATCACATAAACCCAATGGATTTGTTTGGGACCAGAATTATCAACTTATAAGCACGAATTAAATATACGAAATCGAAGCTATTTCCGAATCCTAAAAAGTCAATTTCTCAACGAGCTGATATTTTATAGTTCTTTACTCGAAACAATTTTAACAAATAATACTAATAATCCATTATTTAATAGAAACTGAAGTCATATACTAAAACACGACAGAAATTTTGTACAACAATTGTTGAATCAAGACTTCAGACACTTACCTGAACTTAACGAAACTTCTAAGACTGAGCCTAATTAGGTACTCAATAGATATAATACTTTTTTCATTGTTATATTGATATCATACTCATATATTATTGTCATTTTTATATTATATTTATATTATAGTTATACTCTATATATTTGAATTTAATTTTCAGATGTGTGCCTTGTTTATCGAAACAAGTACCTTGGTACTTATCCTTTACCACTTTATTCATATACCAATATTTCTAAACGTATTTATGTTTTGTGTTATATACCGCTATCTGTTCTGTGAATAAAGTCAATATTATTCGATTTGATAGGGACTATTATCGTATCCGTCTTGAAAGTTTTCGAATCACATTATTTGTGGCCCGTTCTTAAATTCGACATGTCCATAGGGACATGTCGAATGATTTGTTGTGAGTCATAGGTGTAAAACTTTTTCCTAGTGACCATTTCAGGTGCGTTTTTCATCAAGGCTAATGCTGATATATGTCACCTCCGTTCCAAATGGAATTACCTCACCATTGAGGGAAAGTGGCGTTAAATCGAACAATGTTCTCCTCCTGGTGAAGGGGATTATCACAGTTTTGCTGGGGTTGACATACATCTGCTCCCTCAGGTACCAACTGTGAACAACGTCCATCGTGCTTTGGAGGATAATACAAGGTACCCTTCTTGACGTGGACTTTGCCAATATGACAAGGTCATCTGCAAAAGCGTGTAGACCTACTTTTCTTCTGTCGAGGGCATCAAGCAGACTATGCATCAGGAGCGACCACAGAAGGGGAGAGTACCCCACCTTGAGGGCAGCCTCCGGTCACCCTGAACCTAATGGCCTCGCCTTGAAGAGTCGTAGTTGCAGTTCTGTTTATCGGCATAGATCCAGCCATTCATGGTCGATTCTATACCTTTCCTAGCCAGAGACGATCCTTTAGATTTAGGTAGTGCATTGTCAAATGCTTCCTCAATATCGAGAAATACAGCAACCATAATCTCTTTGTTGTCAAAGTATTGGGAAATTATTTCTACAAGGTTGTCTGTCGATTTGCCGGTTTGATAAGCATACTGGTGGTGATTTTTCGGCTAATATCGATACATATTTTTAGAATTGAAAAAAAAACACTTAGTAATACATTTTTTAATATCGTCAAACCAACATATTATATACTTGCTCCTCCTCTTAGTTACCACAATCGAGCATTTTCGTGAAGGAAACTGTTGGGCGTCTCATTGAAACGAAACGAAAACTCAACTTGATAGTAATTATTTTTACATCTGGTATTTGTACTACAACTTTGGAGTGTCAGACCAGAAAAACGTACCACGCAATTTGTAGGACAATGTGGGTGTTAAATTATATAATTTCAATATTAAATTTTACAAAAAGGATTTGAAGCTTTATATCTTCTATTAATTATCTGCAAGCGCTTTCGACAGTTGGTAGTACTGTCATCTTCTAGGCACTCCTCAAAAAAAAATTAAGTAACTGACCAAATGAAATTCAGCTGGTTAGTAATTATATTTCATGTCTTTGTAAATAATACATTTTGCAAAGGGGAGATCTCTTTGATCAAATCGATCATTTTGTAGGACAAATATTTTTTCGGTTAATTCAGATAATTATTTTCAGAATTATATGAAAAAAAAACAATTAGTAATGAATTTTTGACAACCGCCAAATCAACAAATTACGTTCTTATTACCCTTGTTAGCTACCACTTACGAAATTTTTGTACTGGCAAATATTGGGCGTCTCGTCAAAATGAAGCTACTCACGGAAAATTATCTTGTTAGTAAAAAATAACGAAAAAGGACGAGGAATTCCGGGCTAATTGGTTTAGGAACATAATTCGGAAACCAGAAGAGAATTGTACAATTGTTTTGGACAACGCCTTATACCTTTTCAGAAAACCTGAAAAAATCGTACTACAGTCACAAAAAAAGCTGTAATTCAAGACTGGATGCGTTTGAAAAGTATATCATTCGAGGTTAACACTGTGAAAGAAGAACTTTTGAAGATATTGATCATAAAACCAACTATTTCAAATTTCTTTCCAACTCCTTCAGGCTCCTCTTCAAGTTTATTTTCAACCCTTTCAACACTTTTTTCACACTCATTCACTTCTCAAATCGAAACTATTTCAAAGAATTCCAACCTTGGCCTATTGATTTTGAATGGAAGAGATAACATTTCACAAACACATCCAACTGCATTCGATAACCATTCCTATAATCTTCGTCAAGATATAGGTTAATTATTTTCTGTGAAAATAATAAATGATGCAAACAGAATGGTTTCCAAGTCACTGATAACATATGATGGAGGTCGCGCATAATCTGTTGTAACTACAGGGTGTTTATTAAACATGCGGCAAAAATAAAAATTCAAGGGACTATTCCTTGGAGTATTCTAAGGATATTTTGTCCTTGGATGATTTTTGATAGGGCGATTTGTTTCGAAGATACGGAGCGAAAAATAATTTCGACAATAACAATTTATTACCAAAAATTACATGTAATGTAATGTCCTATAGAACATTTCTGTTCCACATCTTTCACTCTAATCGGAATTTTGTTGATAGGTATAGTCGAAGTAAACGATATTGTGCACACTTAAAGTTGGCGGAACTCTCAAAGGCCAAAAAACCAAATCAAATCAAAGCATGCTTTATTATCTGAAGAATAGAATTCTTATTGACAAAGCTCCTAAATATAATAGTACATGAATCCTAACTGCTTAAAATGAGCAGGAAGTCATGATAATTAAATAAAATTAAAATTATGCAAACCAATATGGATTGTCAGATGTTAAAAGTGGATGTACTTAATGTATATATACAGTCATTACTATAAAATAATTTTCACAACAATTTTCACTTGAAAAGTTATCAAAGAAAAACATTTTTCATTTTGTAACTTCGAGGGCCCGTAACTTGGTTACGAAGACTTTTAGGAAAAAAAGTTATATGAAGTACTGGTGATATTTTGATCCCATCTATACATTCCCGAGAGGAAAAGAGGAAGTCCAGGGACACCCTGTATATACACACATATAGACCCATGTACACACATATAATAATTTTATAAAATGTTTGATTTCTTAATACAGGCAATTAATATGTACATACATATATAGTCATACATATACACCTACCCTTAACACTATTTAGTGAGAGACATGGATACGACATATTTTGTACTGCTGTCACAGCTATTCAAAATTTTGTTCAAAAAATTCCCCCAAATCATAAAACGGTCTTGTTATTAAAACTTTTTTCACAGCCCATCTGAATTTCGGAGTGCTATGAATATTTTTGATTTGCTTCGGTAGATGGTTGAACATTTTCGTACCATTGTAAACAATTGAATTTTGGTATTGGGTGGTTCTGGAGATTGATAAAGGTATATATTGGCCATTTGCCCTAGTATTACGTGCAGTGTCAGATTTTAATAAATGTAGTTTATGCTTATGAACTAAACTAGTAGATTCTAGCACGAAAATTGATGTTGATACAATACATGAAAATGAACCAGCTACGAACTAGTCCACGTGAACTGTAGAATTGGCGGTTTGTATTGGATAATTTTTACTAACCGAGTTTTATGGTTGGCTGAAGTGTCATAAAATTAAATTTAAAGTCGGGGAATGCGGGGATGGTTATCGCCGTCGTGTCATCAATGTTCAGTTCAGGAAATGATCGTGACTTGAGTATTGAAATTGTTGAAAAATGACAAAACTCATCAGAACTGGATGAAGAAACTAGGATTTAGATTTAAAATAATAAACAAACGTCAACCAGTTACGGAAAGCAGAAGAATAGTGGGGTTGCGTAACAAATATAGACAAGAATAACAGCAAATTTTCTATTTCAACGAATCTTGGTATGAAAATCATGACACAGTTACGAAAGGGTGGACTGATGGTTCGAGAATGTGTACGCCTGACATACCTGCAAACAAAGGATTGCGACTAGTCATTGCGGAAGGAGCAAAGGATGGGTTCCGAGTTCTTTGAAATTATGTGGAAACAACTTGAGGACTGCAATGTTGACATGGAAGCTAATATTTTTGAGGAATGATTTGAAAACACATTGATCCCAAATTTGGATGCGAATAGTGTAATAGTTTTTGACAACGCTTCCTATCATTTTCGACAGTTCATCAAAGTACCGAATAAAAATTCGAGGAAAGATGACATACAAAGTTTTTCAATGGATAACAATTTGTATTTTGGAGATGACTATACCAAAAACCAACTACTTGAAGTTTTACAGACAAAAACATTTGAAAAAGTGTATGCCCTTGAGAGTATTGCTGAAAAGTATGGCCACACCATATTGAGACTTCCCTCCAGTCCCATCGAGTTGATTTGAGGAAGATTGAAAAAAAGCTTCAGGCGTGAAAATAATTTTCCAAAATTATATACGATACACCGTATATTATCTGAAAATTTGAACATGAGAAAGATGTGTGTTAGGTGAGTGCCGCGTTTGCTCACACTCGCGCAAAAACAGTATCGTGAAGGTGTTTCAATTGAATTTATATGTCATGTAACAAACTTTTTGAACGTATTTTTCTAATATGTACCATTTCTTTTTTCAGAAGTCTCCATCAACAATTCGGTTCTTTCATCGCACTGACTACTATACCGTCCACGGCGAGGATGTTACCGTTGCAGCCGATTTCCTCTCGGTTGCCATCAAATATATGGGCGACAGTCCAAAATTAGGCTATGTCTGTTTCAATAAATCCAAATTCGAAAGTTTCGTTAGGGAGTTATTGCTGGTGCGACAGTATAGAGTAGAAGTATACGTGAAAGCATCGCAGAAGAGTAATGATTGGCAGTTGGAGTACAAGGGGTCGCCTGGAAATTTGACGCAGTTCGAGGAGATTCTATTTGATAATGTCCAGATTGATTTTACAAATTCGGTGATGGGGGTGAAGATCATTCAGAATAGGGTAACGTATCCATAATGGTAAACAGTTTCATTATTAGATTATAAAATGATTAAAATATATCTATCATTTGTTCAGTCATAATATAAAACTATATTGCAACAAATTAATGAATTAACTGTCTTAAAGTTATTTCCAACAATATTTAACTAATCACAAAATAATTTACTGATTTATTTACGACACTTAGCAACTATAATCTGTTCAGAAATGGGAGAGACTGCAGCAGT